CCACATCGCCTATCCACCCACAACATGCCCAACTCCACATAAACTTCCCCCACCACACCCCCCCCCCAAAAAAAGAAATCCATGGTAGAGTAGGCAAAAAAAAAGCCCCCGGAAACCCTCGCCAAACAAAGCCCAAAAAATCCTCCACCGTCAAGCAGAAATTCCCCCCAACCCCAAAATAACCTCCCAACCCCCCCTCCAAAATCCCCAGAGTACCTTCCACGAAGAGCCAACCTAAGCGGCTCTACTCCACCCCCATCATCCACCCATGCTAGTCCTGCACTGTATTACTCACAAGAGGATCTAGCCGTGTTCGGTACCCTAGTAAGCCCTCTGCACTATCCGGGACGGTAATGGTATGTTCCATCAAAGGTTGTCCGAATCGTCAATAATGGTCGCTGTGAAGCTGGAAACCCGCGATGAAGCCTATCGTGGGCAGTCGCATCGATGTTCCATTGATCAGACAGCTAAAACGGGGCTTGTGTGACAAGGAGTAAAACCTTTTGGTGAGGTTGTAGGGATCATGGAGGGACTTTTTTCTGGTACTTTCCTAGGACGAGCACAACACCTGCATAAGCTAGTACTAGTCACCCCGTGCAAGCCCTTGATATCGAACCCACATCCACAGCGTGGGATGACAGGAAATACGAATGGGAGCCTGCGAAGGCGGCGGTTCCATTTGTTTCCTTGAATCTTATTAATTCTTCCTTGTAAATGGGTGGCTTGCCATTCATGAGGGACACTCATATCAGTTCCCCCTTTGGTTATGACGATACTTTATGGTTTTGAATCCACTTCCTTTTGTTTTTTCTTGACTTTTTACCTGTTATGGGACCCTTCATGCATGCAATGGTTGTGCCCCAGGGAGTGTTTTGCCATGTACCTAAATACCATGGGGATCACAAGTGGTGGTGGAATACCGTCGGGGGGATAGAGACCATCGGAGATGGTTGAGAAGACGGCAAAGTGGGTGAGAGGATTGCAGGAGGTAATGAAAGACTCTAAGGAGTGGCGAAGGATTATACACCATTCCAGTAAAGAACCCAACCCACCTCCTAATAGGAGTCACAGCTCCGGTAGCTTTAGACGCTACCATAATATCCGTAAAGCCAACCACAGGGAGGAGACTCGAAAACACCACAATCGATTACAAGTAGGTAACGAAGCGCTAAGAAATCGGAAAGGTAGATTGGCATGATGTCAATGATATCGCTGCCAGATGAGAAGTGCCTCGCATTTTGTCCATGTGTTGTGGCTGCCCAGCCTCGCCCAAAGATGCGTTGCCGCCACCGCCGGCCCTCCTCCATGTGTTCTAAGCCGTGTGCCCGACGGCATGGAACTGGAAGTACAGTACACTTTAATCGCGGCGACAACGGATATATAGATCTATAAAAGAGGGCTTAGTTAAGCTTACTACACGCGAGCACTCCCTCTAATCGTCTCGATTCGTTCCAAATTGGCGATTTTGCCTTATGGTGTGATGCGGGAAGGACATTTCAACCGCTGCGAGGAGAGATGCATAACTTGAACGGCCAAAATCCTACAGTACGGGGACAAAAGGGATCGTCCGATGCCCTTTTCACACCAAAAATGGACATTTCTGAATGGACAATTCTCAATGCTGCTTATATGAAAGCAATTCAAATCCTTTCATCAGCTAGGGAATGACCATCTATTCCAACCTCTAGAAGTACCGCAAAAACTCGCCAAACTCGCTATGCAGGGAGGAGAATTTTGGCACTAATGTGTGGCGATACAGCCAAGATAAGAAAGCTCCTATACAATCCCTAGCGCCAATCCCTGCATAGCGAGTTTAGCGAGTTTTTGCGGTAGAAGTATAAGGAATCAAAGCTGTCTTCATCGTTCATGGTTGCATCAACCAGTGTGAAAGTGACCTAAATTTTTGTATGGGGCCCCATACAAAAAAGTACATGGCAACCAGTACCAGAAACTCAAACAACCTTTTCTCCATCACTTTATAATATTTCAGGATTCTGTGGTGTTTTTCATGTTATCTACAGGTTTACTAATGCATGGACAAATTTGTACAGGTTGTCATAGACATTGTGTGATGAGAGAGGGTGGTGAAGATGGGCACTTTTAGTGTAAAAAGGGCATCGGACGATCCCTTTTGTCCTAGTACTTTACCACACGAAAACTCGCTCCGGGATTGCTCTCAGCTCCGGGATGACAAAGGCCCCATTATGGCCCAGCAACCGCATGATGTCGCAATGAGGCAGGTGCAAGAATGGAGGCAGAACCAGCCATCCTTTATGGTAAATCGAGTGGGCCTTGCTCCCATGAAAGGCGACCCCACGATCATGAACCACATACAAATTCCCCCCATGCCGAACAAAAACACCCCCCAAACCCGGTGTTCGTCGCATAGAGATTTGACCTTGCCTTAAAAAAAAAAAAAGAATTGCCGTACCTTCAGAGAATATCGTACACTTAGGATGAGCTCTTAAGAGCACCTGAGCGAGAGTAACGAACATAGGCAGAGACAACGATCCCAAGCAATGATATCATGACCTTCCCCTTGACGACCCGAGCGAGGCCGAAAAAATATCTCTCCCCGTCCCAGACATGCATCCAGCCATGTTCCAACGTAACCTAGTGAAGATATCTGGATTTCCGATTTTTTTTCGCTGGCTTTCCCGATAAACCACCGGTTTTTGGGATCTAAAATCGCCATTCAAGCAAAGCATTTCTGTTACAGCGATGTTTCTCCTCATCCGGTCAGTTAATAACTGCTCGAGAACACTTGTTTAAGAAACGAAAGGCATTTTTTATTCAACTTCACTCAGATGGCCAAACTAAGCTTCTTCAAAGACGCAATACAACCTTAGGTGGGAACAGCAATCCTAAGCAGTGATATTGACGAACCCCTGTAGCCGACACGGGCAAAACTTCACGCCTTCCAAAAGTTTGACCCACCCCAAACCGCAATACGGTACCTCCACTAAAACCCGAGGCATTCCTATCCTCTCCCTCTTCGTGTAGAGAATCACCCACTAACAGAGCCGTAATTATCAATGGAGGGGGTTCAAAATCCGTCAGATGTTGGGGTTAAGTAATATTTTCCTCGCAAAACACTCCGACTACGAACGTCCCCAGAGACCCAGCGAGGAACCAGAGTCCTAAGAATGACTTACAGGAATAATTATACCATAGAACAGGGCGGACGGAAAGTAAACAAAAAGGGATAAATAATCACACAATTTAAGATGAATCTGATCATGGAAGGGTGTCACAGTCAAACAATCACACCAGCCAGTAAAAGTCCGGATGTGAAAAGTTCACCAGATTCCCGTCATCCCCTCGCACAGCGGCCAGAAAGATAACGAAAAAAAAAAAGTTCGCGTCAACCGGAAGCAGTGCAATACCGGCGACACAGTGGGACCAAGCATGGCAAGCCAGAGACAGGGTCCCAAGGTAAACAAAAATAAGTATAATCAAAAAAAGGTTCCATAGAACCGTTTCAGAGATTAAACTGAAAAGAACAGATACTACACTTGATCTAAGCCTGTGGGGGTATTAGCGACGTATTCAACAAAGTTTAAACAAACCAAACCATCGAAAACTTAATCGCCAAATAAACCAATGTCGTGCCAATGATTCATTTGCCAAAAAGTATTCGAAGTTTGATATCGAAATTGGAAATTGGGGTGTACTGACCAAAAGGCAAAGAGAGCTGGTGAGAGAAGAGGGGGGCGGGGAGGGACGGCCTTATATAGTAATTTTCCTTGCCAGGCGCCAAGAGCATTTTGGCCGACACCTAGGACAAATGAGGAAAGCTCAGGGCTCAGGGCTCAGGGCTCAAGCCCGATGCCAGCCACCAGCACTCCCCAATCCGCAACTTAGACTAGCGTATCATATCGGCACCGGTATCCAGAAATAGAGATGCCAAGATCTCAAAATTCGGGGGTACTGTACCAGGGTGTAAGGGTAAGTGATCGGAAAAAAGTGGTGTTGTGCCAACCACTTTTTTTCCGATCACTTTTTGTTCCAGGCTAGTACTCGGGTAAACCACCAGTTCTCGGTATTTGTTCGCCAGGATAGACTACCAGTAAACCACGAATCGAAGAGTGGCTTTAAATTTAGAACCTACCCTCCTAACCCAACATCGACAGATACTTCAACCCACGGCAACGGCACTTGCGGACGGAAGGTTCCCAAAAAAAAACCCCCTTCCGTAACGTTCTTCGAATTGGTTATCGGAACATATTACTTCACGGCCTTCCAGTTGGGGTCGTGCCCGAGCAGACGCCCTGCCCCTCCAAAGTTTGTACTCGAGTATGGTAAGAAAGAGTGAAGACCTGCACAACAGGTAGAGCACTAGTACACCGCCATAACAGGACTAGCATCCCTGATTTGGCGGGAGGCCCAGTGGAGGTTCTACAGTACTCGAGTAATAAGGTAACCCGCAGGCCAGGCCCAACGCGGACAGGAGGAAATAATTCGTTCCGGTTAAACAGAGACTGAGAGGAATGAGGTGGAGGTAAAACACGAGACCCACGTAGAATAGCAAGTTGTGAAGCAGGCGATGTGAGCAGGCGTGTCTTAGGAACAGTGCTATTGACAGTAGTATAGACTCTGTTACTGGTATTAGAAACACTGTGGCAATCAACACCTGAATTTGGGAGCCCGGAGAGCTCAAGGTCAAATGTGCACAAGAGGCTGTGGGCGAGTGCTGTGCTCGAGTGATGTATGATATTATTATGAAATTTTTCTCATCTAGTGTCGCATAGGAGATTTCCGACCCTTTACCCCCGGTTTTCGGGCAATTAGCACTCCCACCGCAAAGGGATTGGATGGAGCAATTCGCGCAATTGAAGCAACCGACAGAAGTGGAAGATAGGGCCCGGCAATCGTGAAAATGAGTTTCCCATGAAAGGTCAAGGTAAATGAGTCTCCCCGGTGGTGCTGGTATTCACTCTGTAGACTATTCACTTGAACCAACAATTCACCATGAGCCAGCACTCCCCATGGTGGGTTACTCGGACAATACTCGTGTTGGTTACCTCGCTGCCTAGTTTCTCTATCTGAACCTTTGCTGTACCGCGCAGCCATTACTTACAGGTGCATCGCGGCTAATTTCGTCGACAGCTCTCGTAACTCGAACAGCTCTCTCCCTTATATTTATAGACCTCTGTGCCGTAGCGATCACCAAGGAGGAAGGCCCCCCAACGCTTTACCCGAGCAGTCCTTTACAGCGCCCGAGTTACCACTAGTTTACCAGGTGTTAGCGAGAAAGTATATATATATACATCTTGCTCGATAAACCCCTTATCAAGAGGAAGTACAGTATAACCAACTCCTTGAAGTCCTAACCTTGACAGACGATTATGTAGTGAGATAAGACACAGGATACGAGGCGCCACGTACCATACCCGGCTATCAAGTATCAAGGTTCAATCATTCACAAAAACGTCTAACGCTTGTATACAATGCAAATATCCCTTCAACGCCCACGCCGAGATACCTCCCTTTGCAAATGAATCTAGGTACGGAAGAAACCGGTGTGACTAGCCTAGCACCGACTCCCGCTCTATAACAGAGTCATCAAATTTTACTGTTGCTTAATTAGCATAAGGTATCATCTAATGCAATACTCGATGGGCGTAATACTCAAAAACACTGTCTTTGCTGGCAACTGTTCCGTGGGAACACTATGAGCTGTAACCCTCCCGGGAAAAAGACAGCCATCTAAGACAGCTTCAATAATACCTGCAACGAATGCTGCGCAGTTCAGTTGTGACATTTCCTTAGGAACAGATATATAAGAGTTAACCATAGGATCATTGTCAATGAGCATGTATTCATCCTCATTGTCTCGAGATTTCTCCAGTCCGTCCGCTGGCTTATTGAAGATAGAACGATAGACCGTAGTAGTTATGAACTGGAGTATCCCCAAGATGCGTGTCTCGCGCTTTGCACTACGACCTTCACGCCAGAGCAAAAGCTCCAACAACCGCTGGCCGATTGAGTAACCGTGGAGATTAAGCCTAAAACCTCGTCAGCCAGGGATCCTGTTTGTATTTTTTTTGTTTGGGCTTTGGAGAGTGACTTTTTCTCGAGGTCTGCGATACCGTTTACTCTCTTTTGAGCATATTGCACCATCTCCCCGAATAAGAAGGCGAAGCTGGCTTTGGAAAGCTCAGACCGCTGGGACCGGTTAAGATGGCGGTCGTATATGGATTTGCGTGAGGAGGAGTAGCGGAGATTGGAGGAAGTTGATGAAGAGAGCGTATGCTTCAACGGAGGGGTCGAGGTTGGGGTACCTTGTTGAATTGAGGGGTTGGGGGAGAATGGAACGAAGGGGGAATTAAGGGAATCGCCACGTTGCATGACTGTTCGATGAACTGTATTGTTTGATAAAGGAGTAGTGGACGATGCTCCAATGGAGCTGTTGCGGCGAACGGTGCGAATAGTAAGAACTGTAGAGAGGTCAATGTTGCCCTGTGCTTTGGGACATCTCGGGTGTGCTGAACCGTTGAGGCGGCAGGGACGGGAGGCGCGGGGTTACCCGGCAGCCAGTCATTGGAACGGGGACCTGCGTCTAAGTTAACACTGATCTTGTCTTTCTTGCTCGGCGGCCGTTCACAAGTCCAGGAGCAGCGGTCTTCCTTCGTTCTTTCTCTCCCCCGAAAAATAAACTCCCACCGTCGCTCCCTTCCACCATCCCGGAGCTACCTTCAGCTTCATGCATCTGCTCAAAATCCAATTTACGAGGCTAAAAGTTTTCCTAATTCCGCCCCCTTTACCGCTTCATAAATTCTTACAGACACCCTCACCACCTGAACCGCAACTATGACATCCCAATTTATTGGTCTTCAGGTCCTCTTGAGCCTCAATGACCCTGCTCGTACCCGAGTCCGTGGACTTGTTGCTGACGTCAACGGTCCTGAACTGACACTTCGCGATGGTCCGAGATTTATCCTGCTTAAGCGCTGAATCGGAATTACTGCTAACAAGATACCCATTCTAGTGCTTTTTGTGGATACTGGCTACAAGACACCAAGCTATAAAATTAACGGTCTGGATATCGAAGACATTGATATCATCCCCCCTGAGACTAATGACTCTAACCCTCCTCCCCTCCCTACTGTCCAACCTCCACCGCCCCCGACACAGGTTCAAGCGTACCCTCAACCCCTCTCTCAACTACCAAGCAACCAATTCTCTCGACCGGTAACAGCCGTGCATCTTCCACAGATACCAGCTACCTCGGGTCGGTTTATTGATCCGGCCATTATATCAATATCACGGAAGCCAGAGGCCAACACTGCACCAACCACTCAAGCCCCTGTGCCAAATGTTAAACACAAGCCGAAAAAGCCGAGCTACTTTACCCCACCAAGGATGGCGACTGCTGGCTCGTCCGTTACCTCAACTGCTGCCGCTATAAGACCCCTGAACCCACCAGCATTTAAGCACGACAGCTCGTCGCAAGGGGTCTCGTTAGTTCCTATCAATATTCCTACAGCCCCAACAAGCTCGGGGCCTCATTCTCTCTCCGCCAGCGCTGCCCCGGACCCCTCAGGACCCACTGGACTTGGTCATTCCCTCCCAGCACGGGGACCTGTTTCGGCGTCTGTGCTCCAAGTGCCATTTGGTGACCTCTCCCTCCGGGGGGACGTTGCTCCTGAGTCAAGCGCTTTTGATGAAACCGACGATACTGCTAGCAATGCGGCGATGCTACCCACTCCTTATGCCCGGCCGCCCTTTTCTGGAAGGCGCTCTCGGCGTGGGAAAGTTCAAACGAGGAACAATGAACAACGCCCACTCCTCGCGCCAATTACCCAAGAGGAATTCACCCAGAAGAATACTGTACCCCGTGGGGTTTTGGGGGATCCAATAACCCAAACAACCAATTCTGGTGTTGGTTTGCTTCAACCAGGTGCTATGAACTCTGATAAGAGAAGACGGCAAAGGCGGAGAGAGCGGCGAAACGACGGCAACCCAAATGCAGAAGAGGAAGGCTGGGCCACGGAAGATGTCAATGACTACAAAGCTAGGGAATTTGATATTCAGGGGAACTTGGACCTATTCGATAAAGAGGGTCTATTCAACCAGATGAAGGTAATTTGTCAAATCTTATAATCGGATCACATTTTTTCCACCATGAACCTTGGCCTTTATTTTAACACTTTAGCTAGGCTGAGGACACAACAGCGGACGAAGCACGCCTAGTATCCTTCAACAGGCTTCCACAACGCGGTTCCAATAGCAAAGCATCAGGTGTCCCTCGAAAGAATTACCATCACCACGAGAATGTCCTCGGAACCTACGCAAAAGGGCTGCCGTTGAACGATCGAGATGGTTGGCCGAACGAGTTTATCACGGAAGAATCATCTGGGGACTCTGAGGATGGGCCAGGCCGAGGTCGTGGAGATGGTACGGCTGCTGAGAGTGGAAGAAGTAGTAGAAGGGGCATGTCTCATCGATCACAGAGCGGGCGTCGCAGAGGCACAAAGCAAATGAGCACAAGTAACCCATCGATGAGATCCTTGGAAAATCTCCACCATCATCAGTCATCAAGCGGTGGAGGCCCTGGACAAGCTTCAGCTGGCAAGTCTGGGAAACCAACGTTACGGCTAGCGCCCAGTGGCAAACTCTGTCCCATAGTCAGCCCACTGCAAATGTTGGATGTGGAGAGAATCGCGGAGGTCGAGCTTTGCCTCACAGATGACATGATGACGGAAAATGCTAGTCGAGCTATTGCGCAGGTAGCCATTCAGGCCTTTGGAAAACGGATATCCGCATCAAACCATAATGCCCTCCCGGTAGTCCTTGTCTTTGCCGGAAATCATAAAAGTGGAGCACGTGCCATAGCTGCGGGAAGGCACTTGAAGAATCATCACGTCCGGGTGATGGTTTGTGTTCTAGGTCTTGAACGTGAGGATGAGCTACTAGAGCATGTCAGGAGGCAGCTCAATATATTCAGAAACGCTGGTGGTAGAGTAGCGCGGTGGGAAGAACTCGCGAACAATTTGAAAACTCTCGATTCGCCACCGGAGCTGATAGTTGATGGGTTGCTGGGCATACACCTCAACTTTGATGATCTACGAACAGATCAGCAGGCCACTGCGTTTGAACTGGTACAATTTGCGAATAAGAGCAAAGCAAGCGTATTAGCAGTTGATATACCCAGTGGTGTGGATGGGAGCACTGGTTTGTTATTCACCTTACGCTTCTCTTACGTATACTAATATCTTCTTTAGGCGAAGTCGCACAGCCTGAGGGTACAGGCTACCTACATATGAGAGCGAAATGGGTGGTCTGTATGGGCGCCCCAAAATCAGGTCTGCTCAATGCGCTTGTTTCCGGTATAGGTGCTGGCTGGAGCCTTTATGTTGCTGATATCGGTATTTCCAATACTGCCTGGAGGAAGTACGGAACTCGTCGGCGACACGGCGTCGAATTCGCTGCCGAATGGGTCGTCGAATTGGAGTATCACGGCGCGCTCTCCGCTTAGGTTAACGCTCGATGTCTTCCCTTCCAATCGCCAAGTGCCTGTCTTTAGACCTTGCTCGCTACTCCTTACTCGTCCATTCGATCCATATCTGGAGTTCCTTTTCATGACTTTTCTGCTCCTTCTCCAGATGGTGGGTTGGGATGGGCTGGGGTTTCCATATCCCTAGTCCCTCGCTTTAATTGCTACCGCACATCACCACTTATAACTAAACCCAATACCGCTCTTTCTTCACCTTCTGTTTCTTCCCCATCAATCCACCAGGAAGTGGCGTATTTTGATTTCGGAGTAATAGGGGCTTTAGATATCACTGTATCTTTATCAGGGTGGGATTAGAACTAGAAGCGGATGCATTTTCTCTCCTTTCTTTTCGGGGCAATAGCTTGTTATCAAATAGAGTACAAAAACCCATACCCATGTATATTAAAGGGGCAAACTGTGAAGCGCTGTCAGTACGCCGAACATGAAATTTTCAATTCTTTTGCTACTAAATACTATCTCTACTTGTGGCTTTATCGGTACTTTTCTTTCAAAAAAAAATGCGCCCATATAGCATACACTACCGAACCTCGCCAGAACTAAAAGCCTGGCTCCCAACGCACTACTATTATACCAAAGCATACACGCATAGTCCAGACGTATCCAATGCTTACCCCCGAACGCCGATGTTGATACGATCCATGTCACGTCCCCTCATAAGCGCAATCTTTCAGATGGTACGGACCAGAGAGCAGTGCAGTGCAAGGTGCCCACATGCACACACACCAGGTATCCGAGGACAGCGAATCAAGATGCATAAGGAAATAAAGGTCATTACTGAGTTATTTATACAGCATGGATCTCGGAATACACACGAGGGCTTCGAGTCCCTTGAGGCAGGTGGGGCGGGGGGAGAAGAGAAGGCGCTGTCAAGCAGTCTCGAGAGAATTCATATGATATCACTCGAGCTTACCCCATGTGCAAGCGTTCCGGAGAGCTGAGTCCGGGAGTTTTGGCCCTGTTCGGGGGCGGAGGATGATCTCAAATCGAACCGTGGCGGGGTCCAGTGCTTTTTATCTTGTCTTGTCTTGCTGTCTTTCTTTTTTTTTTTTTTCTTTTCTCCCTCTTACAAGGGCATTTTCGGACCGCCCAGCACCGCACTATTGGTTCGATCATTCGACGCCCTGCGGTGGACGATTGATTGGCTGTAAGTTATCATGGATCTTTTTTTACGGGTGTCATCCATTTCGCACCGTAGAACGTATTCTACACACAAAACGTGATAATAACCACCGTTCCAGAGATTTTCCCTTCCGGGAGTATTTGAGGCGAGAAGGGGTGGGTGATATCCATACTCGAGACCCTTTTTTTTTTTTTGCCCCGGAAAAAAAGTGCTCCGCCGGTTTACCTCTCGATGAAAGATGGACAGATGGCGAAATAAGCCACCAGCCACTCTTAAAAAAAAAAAGAGCGAAAAATAAGTTTGAGACTCCCTCCACCAATCAGGAAGACGTCTCCCAGGACATCCGTTAGTCTACCTCCACCGCTAACAACTGGCATAAACTGCCCAACACGAAAGCCCCGCAGGCTACAGTACCAATATGCTAAGCTAAGGTGTGAATTCCAGGGCTATGTAGAAACCCGCCCCTCCCACCAAATGTCTCCGAATTTCACCGGCTCCGGTAAGACTCGGTACAATATAATATACGTGATTCGGGGTGAATATCATGCCGGTACGGTACTCGTACTATACAAAAAAAAAAAAAAAAAAAAAAAGCCCCTTCAGCTCCCCCTCCCCCCTTCTCTGGTGCGTGGCTGTCCACACAATTCCAGATCCACTGGTGCCAGTGGCTGAGTAAGTTAAGCCCCCGGGTTAATGTACAGTGTGATACGTGGCCACAGCGAAATCTTGCCCCGATCCCGTCGGTTCAGCCATAATTACGGGCGCTGCGTGCTGTAAAAAGGTTGGAGAATCCATGGGGCACGGGGTTGCCCGGCACTGGTACCGTATTTCTTTTCGTTCGTCCTTACTGGGGCTTCAGCAGTCGTGTGTATACACTGTAGGTACCTGCTGTTGTGATAGGCTGTAATCACAAAATATCACTCGGTAGGGTGATTGATTGGCTGTCTTGTCCTGTCCTGTCCAAGTGTGCCATCGCAACTAAAAGCCTCATCCGACTCCGCCACAATTGCGATGAGGAACTTGCGCGTATGATAATGTATCATACTGTGCGTACGGTATCATACGCACAAATGCCACAAGCGAGTGAGTGGGCGAAAACAAATCACGCACACGTTCTCATTCTCCAGGTTTTTTTGTTTCCCATTTTTACTATCATACTTACCGTACGGTAAATTTACTTCCAAGACATATGATACTGTTTTTGTTTTTCTCTTTCTTCTTCTTCTCTCCTTCCCATCTCTCTCAATGCTATCTATTCAAGAATCAAGTTTTAAAGTTTTTTTAGTTTTTAGTTTTTCTTTACAAAAAAAAAAAAAAAAAAAAGACCAAGTTAGGCATAATGTGATGATACGATCGATCGCCTCGTGTGCGAGTACCGTATCATAACTCGTACTTGCCATAGACCACCTTACCTTTTGCTTGCCTTACTCGTTCCTTTTGTGCTCCCCCCCCCCCTCCCCCCATTCGCGTCGATACACGAGCGCCAGTACAATGCTCTAACATGCATATTTCACGAATCGTTATCGTGGTCAGGCGTTCGTTACATTTTTTTTTTTTCCTGTCGCCCATTTTGTAATACCCACCACCACCCCACACACACACTCACACCCCACTTTGCAAATAGGGTAAGGCCAAGCTGGCTGAATGAATGAGTGAATGAATAAATGGAGGGGCGACCAAGAAGGAAGGAAGCAAGGAAGGGAGGAAAGGGTTCTATTCTTAGAATCTGGAAACGGGTGACGGGTCGTGATTGCAAGATGGTTTTAGTTGGCTAGCTGATTATTCATGCTATGTACAGTACTACAGTACTCGAGTGCTGTATGGTATGATATCAAATTAGCATAGATCGATACCGTCGCTAATGAATTGCAAAGCTGCATCCCCGATGAAAGGAAAAGAAAAAAGCAGATTCCGACCGACTGACCTATTATACGTACAGTACGTACAGCACAGTACCTACCTCACCATGTCGCCGCCCATCGACAACGGCGCGGGAGAGGCTCGCCCTATATGATATCCTCCCGTACTGTACACACTCCGCATCAAACACCCGCCCATGATAATAAACATCGTCACCATACATCCCCATCCCAATCGAAGAGATATAATAGATAGGAAGGAAGGAATATGATGCGCAGAGCGTAAAGTTGAGCACAAACAAAAACAAACGCATGCCATACCAACCAACCAACCAATCAACCACACCAAAGTAGCAACCTTCCCCGTTCCCGTAATTGTATCATAAGTCAGACCTACCATATGATAGAAACTAACTTTTTTATTTCCTTCTCCCACACGCACTGTAGGAATCCGTACTGTAGGATAGCACAGAATCATGCGTCCTGACACGATACAGTATGACAAAGGGTTGTTTTTTCCCACCGTATCGTATCGTATCATACCGTACCCGACCATGACACGCTAAACCACCGGTAATGATAAATTTACGGTGCGGTGCGAGTATGATGATACCACGGGGGCGGCGGGAACGGATGTCTAGATCTCGCCGTATAGAATGGGGGCGCGGTAAAAGGTGGGGAAATAAATATCATAGCAAAAGCGAAAGTTTGTCAAGTCTGTTCCCGCCACACAATTCCAGCACAGTAGCAGAGCGAGTGAGTGAGTGACCGGACTGAGCAGCACATGTACTGTACTGTACCGTATGATACGGTGAAAACGGTTAACGCGCGGCTAACTTACAGTCATGAGGATCCGACCAAACCCTCAGGGGAAAAAAAAACATATAGATTGGATCGTTCGTGTCACTCGCTCACCACTGTGTAGACGGGCCAAAAAGTTTTGATTTCGCTTTGCATTGCTTGCTCGAACAATTGGGGTATCATATCATACAGCACTCAACTCAAAGGGAATAAATAACAATACCGAGTGAGGGGTCGTGATGGTCCTCTCCTCTCCTCTCCTCCCCTTTCGTTTCGTTTCGTTTCTTTTCCTTTTTTTCCGAAACAGATTTGAAAGGGAAAAAAAATGGAAATCCTGAGGTACATACGGCTGGAATTTTCATCCCCCTTCCTTCCCTTTCCCTCCTTTCACATGTTATTGTCAACACAGTACCGTATCATACCAGTACGAGTAAGCCCGTGGCATTGAGAGAACTAGACTATCTATCATACCTTAGGCATTATAGCGAACAACCACGAATGACAACGTGTCGTCGACACACAAATCTGATGGATGGATTGATTGATTGATTGATCGGTGGGAGGACAACCTATCATACCTACTCGTAGACCACCTGCCAGTCCGGATTTTACAAACCCTATGCCGTAGCGTGATTTACTTGTGATAATTTCTATGGCGTCCTGGCTGTGCTTGGAGTACCTGTACCGGTATCATACTGTAGCTATCGTGGCAGGGCATAGCATGGCATGGCATAGCATAGCATAACATAATTTCACCGTAAATTTATGTACCCTGCCCCTCTTACACTCTGTCTCCTTTGCTTCATTATGTACTGTTCTCTCTCTTTACCTTAATCTCGTGAATGAATGAATGAATGTTGGATTCAAAGGGTGGTAATGTAATGTACCGTAATGCATAACCCCAATAACTAAAAGCCCCGCACATTGAAATTTAATTTTTTCTCTCTTCCGGGCTGATAAAAAACTTGGCAAATGACTCCGCCAAGTTATGGTACTGTACATGACGATTCAAAAAGCTTGTCGCAGAGCCTCAGTTATTTTTACATTTCTCTCACTCCCGTTTTTTTTTTAAAAAAAATTAATTCTTTATTCTTATTCTCTTTCTTTAGAGTGGGTGTGTGTGTGGGTGGGGGGCTGAGGGTGAAGGGGTGATTGATTGATTGGCTGGTTGGTTGGTTCGTTGTATTATATCCACCCGCTTTGCCGTTCCGGGAAATAATTGCTCGAAAGGGATAGTCGCTGCGACTCCGAGTTTTCCTTCTCTTGTGGTGATATTACGGTATTTGATACTCTGCTGTGCCTATCTACCGTATCTGTCCTTTTCAACTTTTTCTTCTCGAGAGGGAAAAAGGAAGGAAAGAGAGGGGGGATAAAGGGGGAAGAGGAGAAAAAGGAAAGGGAGGAAGGAAGGAAAGAAGAAAAGAAGAGGGAGAGTTTGTGATTGATTCTGCGAGTGGTACTCGTACGGTGTCATTGTACTGGTACCCGTACCGTGCTTGTACCGCTGTATCATTGGCATCCTCTGATACAATGCTCGTGCACGCCTGCCGAGTGAGTGGGGGTGTATCATAATAATATGGTAATTCATTGCGACTCCTCGATAAGGTATTATTATTATTGATGTTGTTGTTGTTGTGACTCTGGGTAGAGCCCTACCTACTGTACTCGAGTACCTACCTACCGTACTGGGTCAGGTACGGCACCGCATACCGTAAAATCTCGAAAAATCCGGCCAGCTTGGCAGTAAGACGTAATGCGAAAAGAGTGCCTGTGCACACCTGTGCTACTTACCTAATTTGGCATCAAAACAACCTCATTTAGAGAGCATGTAGACACGTGATATTGGTTACATCTACACAA